TTAGGATCATGAGCAGTTCCTTTCCTTCTCCATACTCTTCTCTTCCCATCACTCTGGTACAAGTTGATCTTGGTCTCATCTGTCCATAGGATGTTGTTCCAGAACTGTGAAGGCTTTTTTAGATGTCGTTTGGCAAACTCTAATCTGGCCTTCCTGTTTTTGAGGCTCACCAATGGTTTCCATCTTGTGGTGAACCCTCTGTATTCACTCTGGTGAAGTCTTCTCTTGATTGTTGACTTTGACACACAAACATCTACCTCCTGGAGAGTGTTCTTGATCTGGCCAACCGTTCTGAAGGGTGTTTTCTTCACCAGGGAAAGAATTCTTCGGTCATCCACCACAGTTGTTTTTTGTGGTCTTCCGGGTCTTTTGGTGTTGCTGAGCTCACCGGTGCGTTCCTTCTTTTTAAGAATGTTCCAAACAGTTGTTTTGGCCACGCCTAATGTTTTTGCTATCTCTCGGATGGGTTTGTTTTTGTTTTTTTTCAGCCTAATGATGGCTTGCTTCACTGATAGTAACAGCTCTTTGGATCTCATCTTGAGAGTTGACAGCAACAGATTCCAAATGCAAATAGCACACTTGAAATGAACTCTGGACCTTTTATCTGCTCATTGTAATTGGGATAATGAGGGAATAACACACACCTGGCCATGGAACAGCTGAGAAGCCAATTGTCCCATTACTTTTGGTCCCTTAACAAATGAGAGGCACATATGCAAACTGTTGTAATTCCTACACCGTTCCCCTGGTTTGGATGTAAATACCCTCAAATTAAAGCTGACAGTCTGCAGTTAAAGCACATCTTGTTTGTTTCATTTCAAATCCATTGTGGTGGTGTATAGAGCCACAAATGTTAGAATTGTGTCGATGTCTCAATATTTATGGATCTGACTGTATTAGGGCCAATTTACACAGGAGCCAATTAACCTGCCACGTGTTTTCGGAGTGTGGGAGGAAATCCACACAGGCAGAACATGCAAACTCCAAGCAGTTAGTGCTGTGGTTGAAATTTGACACGCACGCGCACACGCACACACACTCTCTCTCACTCTCTCTCTCTCTCTCTCTCTCTCTCTCTCTCTCTCTCTCTCTCTCTCTCTCCAGGCCCCCCTTCACTTTTTTACATTTTGTCATGTTACAGTCTGATACCACTGTTGTTTAAATTCATTATTTTCTACACTGAAATATCACATTGGCATAAGTATTTAGACCCTTTGCAACAACACTTGAAATTTAGTTCAGGTGCCTCACTTTCTTTTGATTGCTGCTGAGATGTTTCCACACCTTGATTGGAGTTCACCTGTAGCAAATTAAATTGATGTACATGACTTGGAAAAGCACACACCTCTCTATAAAAGGCCTCACAACTGACAATGCATACTATATCATAGCAAAAGTCAAGAGGTCAAAGGAAATGACTGCAGAGCTCAGAAACAGGATTATTGCAAGGCGCAGATCTTGGGAAGTCTACAGTAACATTTCTGCTGCACTGAATGTTGGCGTGCTGGACTGAAGCCTCGCATTGGCAAAACACATGAAAGCCCACATGGAGTTTGGGAAAAAAGCACCCGAAGAACTCCCAGACTATGAAGAACAAGATTCTCTGGTTTGATTAAATCAACTGTTTTGCCGCAATTCTAAATGTTTTGGAGAAAACTAGGAACCGCTCATCACTTGCCCAATACCATCTCAACAGTGAAGCATAGTGGTGGCAGCATCATTCTGTGGGGGTGTTTTTTCAGCAGCAGGGACTGGGAGACTGGTCAGGGTTGAGGGAAAGTTGAAAGGAGCAAAGTACAGAGATATCCTCAATGAAAACCTGTTCCACAGTGCTCAGGACCAAAGACTAAGCCGAAGGTTCACCTTCCAACATAACAATAATCCCAAGCACACAGATAAGACAACACAGGAGTGACTTAGGGACAACTCTGTGAATGTCCTGGCCCACCCAGAGCTGTGACTTGAACTCCTATTGAACATCTCTGGAGAGACTTGAAAATGGATGTCCACCAACGTTCTCCATCCAACCTGACTGAGCTTGAGAAGATTTGCAAATAAGAATGACAGAAAATCTCCAAGTCCAGGTATGCAAAGTTTGGCTTGAGGCTGTAATTGCTGGCAATGGTGCTTCAACATAGCTGCGGCTATGGGAACATATTACATGTTCCATCCTAAAAATGGGTTCACAGATATTTCCAAAATTCTGTTTTCATTTTTTATTATGGGGTACTGAGTGTAGATTGAGAAAAAAAAAATTAATTTAAACAACTTTAATATCAGGCTACAACATAACAAAACTGAAAGTGAAGGGGGTCTGAATAGTTTATGAATGCACTCTATATTTCAAAATATACATACACTAAATTCCCAACACTTAATAATCTATAATACTTTGTGGTAGATAACTTGATTAAGATTTAGAATGTACTTTGCAAATACATCTGTAACATGATCTTGCAAATTCTGCTCAAGTATTCATCCTGCGCCAATCATGGGACCTCTGCTGAATGGGAGAATGTTTGTTCAGGTTTGCTAATCCCACTTTTTAGCAGAGATCATATGGCTGACTGTCTAAGCTTAAAGTGGACCTTGCACCCATGTGCAAAGTTTGTTTAATAAATAGCAACCCACTCTCCCACTGCATATTGGGGACAATTCACTAAAGGTTATCGCATGCGTTTTGTCGGTCACGTGACCACATATTGCATGCGATACTAAAAATGTCAATTCACTATTGCTAGTATGCGGTATTTACCACAAATAGCAAAAATTCTTCGTAAATACTGCATAACTAGACAAAGTAAATTCACAGAAAGAAGTAAATAATTAAATGCATGTGGTAATTAAGTAGTGGTTGAAACATGCGGTATGTACTGGTCGTTAAGGAGTAGGCGGTCGCCGGCATGTCATGATTGTTAAGGAGTGGGTGGCCACCGCGTCCTTCACAACTAATGAGTCATCAACTATTAGGCGGGGTTCCCTACTTACAGCTGAATGTCGCAAAAAAAAAAGGATTGCCTGCAATTAAAAATTAAGAAAAAAAGGGCGTTGTGTTCCCCCCAATCCTTACCAGGTCCTTAAGGTCTGCTATGGATTTTGAGCAGAACCCCCATACCAAAAGAAAAAAAAAAATGGCATGGGGTCCCCCCCAAAATCCATACCTGACCCTTATACGAGCATGCAGCCCAGCAGGTCAGGGAAGGGGGGGACATGCAAGTGCATGTTGATGAGGACAAGGGCCTTTTCCCCACAACCCTGGCTGGTGGTTATGGGGGTCTGCAGGCAGGGAACCCACTGACAGCTGATGACTCATTACAATACTGCATGTTTTCACTACTAAAGTACCACATGAGTTAATAAAATAACTCATGCGATTTTAGTGAATGCCAGCAAACTTTTTGTGCGGTATGTTACCTCATACTTGGATACAATAAGGTACCGTTTTCTAAATTGTCCCCACTGCCATAAAATTTTGGATTGGCAGTAGTCTTGCTTGTAACATATGCCAAGTAGTGATATCTTTCAAATAAAGCTGTTATGAAGACTCCGGTGAAATGTCACTGTGTTGATTGATATGTGAACTATATGAGTTTGTGATTTGTTACTAAAGTTTAAATTTAAAGGACACTCATCCTTGGGATGTATGGGGACTGTCATTATAGACATCTTTAAAGGTTCTGGATATAGTGAGAAAGGATAAACCATCTATTAAAGTTTTACAGCTTTCTGGAGCACAATTGAAGAGATTTCTCTTCACTTACTAGAATGGTGACTATGGTTTCACCAGGCAGGAAGTAAGGACAAATCTGCAACACAGTTGTCAGCAAAAATCTGACAGGGGTTCTAACCTTTCCTTTTCTACTAATAATTCTGTATTGCTGTTGGAGATTCCCCTCACCTCCTGTCTGTTGAATGTCAGTGAAGTCCTGCATAGCAATTATAACCCTGGCTCGCTCACAAACAAAAAAGTTTTGGCTGGACGTACACTTAAAAACTCTGATCAGGAAGGATCAACAGCTGCATTTTTGCACTAGGCCAAAAGCTCTGAAGCCAGTATGACAACAGGGGGAAGTAGCTCCTTCAAAATTGAGGTCATCAAGGGCTGTGTCTGTTCCCTAAGGTTTTGTTTGTTTATCAAAGTAGATTTTCTAGTAGTTTTATGGTGGCTATACATGCTTTGATAAAGGACCGATTTCTTTTCTAATAATTTGCTTTCCATAGGAATAATCAATCTATAGTTGGCTCTAATGATCAAGGCCTTCTATTTCTAACTGTATTGAATTGTATTGTAATTGTATTGTCTGCCCTCACGTTTGTAAGCTCTAACGAGCAGGGCCCTCTGTTTCCTACTGTTTTGAATTGTATTGTAATAGTACTGTCTGTCCTCACGTTGTCAAGTGCTGTGCAAACTGTTGGCACTATATAAAATCCTGTATAGTAATAGTTGATAACCCTTTCGAATGATAGCCAAACCCGTGGGGAAGTGGATTTTGATCGATAGTTGGAAGATACAATTATACTTGTCAGTCACATCTCTGTTTCCATCATGCAATCTTATAATCTGGTCAATCACATTCATCAACGAGGTATCTGGAAATGCAAAATAATTGATAAATTTCTGCACTTGCAGATTGACTCAGTTTGATTAAATCTGATCTAAATCAAGTCTAAATCGAATGGAAGGAAAGTTATGGCTGTTCTTTTTTTTGCTGATTGGATAGTTTTGATCAGATCGCACATTGTTTGCATATTACAATCAAAGCATGTATGGCCACCATTAGTAGGGCTCACAGATGTCCCAAGAAGTCAGTAGGTTAATGAACATGCTGGTTTGCAAACAAGTCTGTGTTTAAGGATTTTTGGCAAAATGTACCATTTTAATGAGAGGTTGTTACCTTATCAAGGATTATACCCACATTATAACAGATATTACCAAGTAATTGATATGTCTACTACAGATAAATTGGAGATTTTTAATTGATTAATTGATTGCATTCTAGATGACTGGAACCCCTTTTCACATCCATATAGAAAGTTGGATTTTGGAAAATGGGAATTACACATTCCTCCAAATGAAGATAAATCCCCACTTATACAACATGGATCAAAGATAAAGGTAGGTTGAATTAAAAATATTAGTGTTGATTGCAGACTCAAGTTAAAACCTCATCAATTACGCAAGCCATTGTAGTGGTAGAAAAAAAATAACTAGAATCTCTGAGTTTTAAAAATTAATATATAAACCATATATTCACTGCGCAAATAAGATGTGAAAATATATGAAAAAAACATCTAACACCTGAAAAAATGCATAATAAATCTCTCACGTAAGTCAATAAATGAGTGCATAAAATGTGTAAGCATGCAGCTGCCCTAATAGTGAATAATGCAATAATCACCTCATGAAACAATGATGAATAAAATATATATATATAAACACACTAGCCGAGTGAAAATATGGCACACAATATAACACAGTAAATATACACAAATATAATATCATTTGACTTAAGTCCATCAACTGAAACCTTTTTATAAAGTCAGGTGATGAAACGTGTCAGGTTCAGGCCGCACAATGTATTCTGTAATGTGGCATCCACCTTGCATCCCCCGCCGGAAGTGACGTATCACTTGCATGCAGCGAGGAAGATCGGGTAAGATGCCTGCTTCATGTGTACATATATATATATATATATATATATATATATATATATATATATGTATGTATGTACAGTGGCGATCGAAAGTTTGGGCACCCCAGCTAAAAATTTGTATTAATGTGCATAAAGAAGCCAAGGAAAGATGGAAAAATCTCCAAAAGGCATCAAATTACAGATTAGACATTCTTATAATATGTCAACAAAAGTTAAATTTTATTTCCATCATTTACACTTTCAAAATAACAGAAAACAAAAAAAATGGCGTCTGCAAAAGTTTGGGCACCCTGCAGAGTTGATATCTTGTACTGCCCCCTTTGGCAAGTATCACAGCTTGTAAACGCTTTTTGTAGCCAGCCAAGAGTCTTTCAATTCTTGTTTGAGGTATCTTTGCCCATTCTTCCTTACAAAAGTCTTCCAGTTCTTTGAGATTTCTGGGTTGTCTGTCACGCACTGCTCTTTTAAGGTCTATCCATGGATTTTTCAATTATGTTGAGGTCAGGAGATTGTGAAGGCCATGGCAAAACCTTCAGTTTACGCCTCTTGATGTAATCCCCCGTGGATTTCGAGGTGTGTTTAGGATCATTATCCATTTGTAGAAGCCATCCTCTCTTTAACTTCAGTTTTTCACAGATGGCATCAACTTACCATCCAAAATTTGCTGAAATTTTATTGAATCCATTTTTCCTTCTACTGGTGAGATGTTCCCTGTGCCACTGGCTGCAACACAACCCCAAAGCATGATTGATCCAACCCCATGCTTAACAGTTGGACAGAGGTTCTTTTCATTAAATTTTGTGCCCCTTCTTCTCCAAACGTACCTTTGCTCATTCCGGCCAAAAAGTTCAATTTTACCCTCATCGGTCCACAGAACTTGTTTCCAAAATGCATCAGGCTTGTCTATATGTTCACTTGCAAAGTTCAAACGATGATTTTTGTGGGTGAGGACGTAGAAGAGGTTTTCTTCTGATGACTCTTCCATGAAGACCATATTTATACAAGTATCTCTTTATAGTGGAATAGTGTACCACAACTCCAGTGTCTGCCAGATCTTTCTGGAGGGATCGTGCAGTCAAACGTGGGTTTTGAATTGTTTTTCTCACAATCCTGCGAGCTGTTCTGTCTGATATTTTTCTTGGTCTTCCAGATCTTGCTTTAACTTCCACTGTTCCTGATGACTGCCATTTCTTAATTACATTCCGAACAGAGGATATTGACATCTGAAAACGCTTTGCTATCTTCTTATAGCCTTCTCTAGCTTTGTGAGCGTCAACTATTTTCAGTTTCAGTTTTCTAGACAACTGCTTAGAAGAACCCATGGTGCTGATTGTTAGGGCAAGGTCAGATGAGTCTGGGCATTTAAAACCTTTGAGATTGACATCACCTGGTCTTCCCAGACGATGATTGAGAACAATCCATGACACTGGCAGGTCTCAGCTTGGCAAAGGGGGCAGTGCATGCTATAAATTCTGCAGGGTGCCCAAACTTTTGCAGACGCCATTTTTTTGTTTTCTGTTATTTTGAAAGTGTAATTGATGGAAATAAAATCTAACTTTTGTTGACATATTATAAGAATGTCTAATCTGTAATTTGATGCCTTTTGGAGATTTTTCCATCTTTCCTTGGCTTCTTTATGCACATTAATAAACACTTTTTGGCTGGGTGCCCAAACTTTCAATCCCCACTGTATATGTGTGTGTGTGTGTTTATGTATATATATGTGTATGCACAATAAACCACTACCTCCTTAGTGTGTTTTCACATGAATGGCTTGATCACAAGGATAAAGGAAAGAATCTGAGTTGTTCAGGTTAGAAACGTAAAAGTATGTGTATCAAACCAAATACACATAACTGAATATACACTATATTGCCAAACGTATTGGAAAACCCTTCCAAATAATTGGATTCGGGTGTTCCAATCACCTCCATGGCCACAGGTGTATCAAATCAAGTACCTAGGCATGCAGACTGCTTTGGAAAACATTTGTGAAAGAATGTTTGCTCTCGAGCTCAATGAATTCAAGAGTGGTACTGTGATAGGTTGCCACCAGTGCAATAACTCCATCGTGAAATTTCCTTGATACTAAATATTCCACGATCAACTGTTAGTGGTATTATTGCAAAGTGGAAGCAACTGGAAATGGCAGCAACTCGAAGTGGTAGGCCACGTAAAATGACAGAGCAGTGTCTGTGCATGCTGAAGCGCACAATGCGCAGAAATCGCCAACTGTCTGCAGCGTCAGTAGCTAAGACCTCTAAGCTTCATGTGGCCTTCAGATTAGTACAACAACAGTGCATAGAAAGCTTCATGGAATAGGTTTCTATGGCTGAGCAGCTGCATTCAATACTTACATTGCCAAGCGCAGTGGTGTAAAGCAAGCTGCCACTGGACTCTAGAGCAGTGGAGGCATGTTCTCTGGAATGAAGAATCACACTTCTCTGTCTGGCAATCCGATGGACGTGTCTGGGTTTGGCAGTTGCCAGGAGAACGATGCTTGCCTGATTGCATTGTGCAAAGTGTAAAGTTTGGTGGAGGGGGGATTATGGTGTGGGGTTGTTTTTCAGGGTTTGGCTTCGCCCCTTAGTTCCAGTGAAGGGAACTCTTAAGGCATCAGCATACAAAGACATTTTGGACAATTTCATGCTCCCAACTTTGTGGGAACAGTTTGAGGATGGTCCCTTCCTGTTCCAACATGATTGTGCACACAGCAAGGTCCATAAAGACATGGATGAGCGAATTTGGGGTGGAGAAACTTGACTGGTCTGCACAGAGTCCTGACCTCAACCAAATAGAACACCTTTGGGATGAATTAGAGCAGAGACTGCAAGCCAGGCCTTCTCGTCCAATGTCAGTGCCTGACCTCACAAATGTGCTTCTGGAAGAATAGCTAAACATTCCCATAAACACACTCCTAAACCTTGTGGACAGCCTTCCCAGAAGAGTTAAAGCTTTTATCGCTGCAAAGGGTGGGCCAACTCAATACTGAACCCTACGGACTAAGACTGGGATGCTAGTAAAGTTCATGTGCGTGTAAAGGCAGCCATCCCAATACTTTTGGCAGTATAGTGTATATCAAAATGATGAAAAAAAATCCTAAGTCTGTGCACAGAGCTCCCTTCTCTTGTGATTGTAAAGGCTCCAGGTTTTTTTTTACCTTCATGCCTCCTGTGCATGAAGTAAAAAACCTTCTGTATGAAGCACCCCCCCCAGCCCCTCTAAAACTTACCTAAGCCTCATCTTGATCCAGTGATGTGCATGAGAGCCTCAACTTTCCCAGGTCTCTCCTTCCTCATTGGTTGAGACAGCAGCAGTAGCCATTGGCTCCTGCTACTGTCAGTCACAGCCAGTGAGAAGAGAGCAGGGGGGGAGTGGGGACAAGCCGCTATTCATGTGTGAATGGACATACAGAGTAGAGGCTCAGGAGCGAGCCAGTTCCCCAATAGCAAGCTACTTGCTTTGGGGGCACTTGGCAGAAGAGAGGATCCAGGAGTCCTGGCGGGAGAGCATAGAGTTTCCCAGATCCTGCTCTTCTCCAGTCCCCTGCTGGCGCTCCTGGCCCCTCCCTCCTCTCGGGTGCCCCCACAGCAAGCAGCTTGCTATGGGGGCACCCGCTGTTCCGTGTGTCCATTCACATACAGAGCTGTGGCACGACCCTGCCCCCTCTGTCTTCTCATTGGCTCACTGGCTGTGATTGATAGCAGCAAGAGCCAATGGCTCCCGCTGCTGTCTCAGCCAGTGAGGACAGGGAGTCCTGGGATAGCTGAAACTCCAGTGCACACCGTTGGATCGAGAGGGGGCTTAGGTGAGTATTAGAGGAGGCTGCTGCACACAGAAGGTTTTTTACTTTCATACATAGACTGCATGAAGGTAAAAAAACCTTGAGCCTTTAGAACCTCTTTAAGTTCCTATTTACCTAACAGATCATACAACATAGACACATGATGGAAGTTTATTTTGATTAAGTTTATATAGAACAATATTTGTTTTTAGCAGGTATTCACCAAAATATATTCAAGCTATAGTTATACAATGGATATGGGCTGAGAGTGCACACTCTCAGGTTTAATTTAAGGGTATGTACATCCAAATTGAAGGAAGGATTTGGGAATTACAGCTCTTAAGAGTAGCCTTCCCCCCTTTTTCAAGGGACCAAAATTATTTGGACAACTGAATATAATCATAAATAAAATGTTAATTTTTAATATTTTGTTGAGAATCCTTTACTGGCAATGACTGCCTGTTGTTCTTTGTTTGTGGGTCTTTCCGCCTTTAGTTTTGCCTTCAGCAAGTGAAATGCATGCTCAGTTGAGAACAGGTGATTGACTCGGCCATTGCAGAATATTCCACTTCTTTTCCTTCAAAAGCTCTTGGGTTGCTTTTGCAGTGTGTTTTGGATCATTGTCCATCTGTACTGTGAAGTGCCATCCAATCAACTTTGCTGCATTTGGCCTAATCTGGGCTGACAGTATAACTCTAAACACTGCAGAAGTCATCTGGCTGCTTCTGTCTTCTGTCACATCATCAATAAACACCAATGACCCAGTGCCACTGGAAGTCATGCATGCCCATGCCATCACACTGCCTCCACCATGTTTTACAGATGTTGTTGTGTGCTTTGGATCCTGAGCTGTTCTAAGCCTTCTCCACACTTTTTCTTCCTGTCATTCTGGTACAGATTAATCTTAGTTTCATCCATCCAAAGAATGCGTTTCCAGAACTGGTCTGGCTTTTTTTAGATGTTTTTTGGCAAAGTCTAATCTGGCTTTTCTATTCTTCAGGCTTATGAATGGTTTGCACCTTGTGGTGATCCTTCTGTATTTGCTCTCGTGAAGTCTTCTCTTGATTGTAGGTAATGATACGCCCACCTCCTGGAGAGTGTCCTTCACTTGTCTGGATGTTGTCAATGGATTTTTCTTTACCATAGAGAGGATCCTGTGATCATTGACCACTGTTGTCTTCTGTGGACGTCCATGCCTTTTTATGTTGCTGAGCTCACCAGTGCATTCTTCTTTCCTCAGAATGTACCAAACTGTTGATTTGGCCTCTCCTAATGTTTGCTGCCCATCTCTCTGATGGATTTGTTTTGTTTTTTTGAAGCCTTACAATGGCCTGTTTCACTTGCATGGACATCTCCTTTAAAGGCATGAGGTAGGTTCATAGCAATAGATTCCAAATGCAAATACCACACTTAGAATCAACTCCAGATATTTTACCTGCTTAATTGATGAGGAAATAATGGAGTAGCCCACACCTGGCCATGAAATAGGTTTTGATTCAATTGTCCAATTACTTTTGGTCCCTTAAAAAAAGGGGGGGGGGGCTTTTCTTAAGAGCTGTAATTCCTAAACCTTTCCTCCAATTTGGATGTACATACCCTCAAATTAAACCTGAGAGTGCACTTTCAGCCCATACCCATTATATGCAGTACCTACTGTAGCAATTGTACGTACGGATATGGACACGGTCATCCATCTTGCTCAAGATTCCCCATCTTGTATCATTCTCTCTCCCTCCAATTCCCCTCCCTCAGGAATGTTGTGTGTGTGTGTTGGGTTCACAAGGGCATCAGGCACAGCTGGATACACTTCATGGTTGTAATCCCAATTAGCTGGTGCCCGGGTGTCTGTTAGCTTCTCGATCTGAGATGATCGTAAAGCTATAAACCAGTCCTTCACTGGTCATGAAAAACATTCCAGAATAACCGTAAAACATACATCCCATTTAAAACCCACTTTTCATAACTTAAAATAGGGAATACATACAATCAAACAAGCATATATTTTGATAGCTCAGTTTAATGTGAGTCGCCTGATATCTTACACCCCTAGATTACGTACCCAAGAGCAGAAAGCGATATCTCTTTAACCGTCAAAGGTAGATATGTCATATCTAATATCTGAACGTTCAGCAGATGATTCTGCATATTATCCTACCCATGGATAGGATGCTACATGTACCCATGGAAGTTTATTGACCATGTTATAACTTGGGAGGGATTTGGTCATAGCCTGAGTTCCCTGCCTAAACACCCCTCCCCAAATGAAGCGATTGGTTCTCTGCTTTAAGGAGACACCCTGCTGGGTTCCTAGAAAAAGGCTTTTATGCTTGGAGAAGTAAGATGAAGAATTCTCCCTTTTTAACATCAGGAACCAACTTGGGAGAACGGTAACCTTTTGTTCAGGACCTTGATCTGCTTAAACCAAGGCAGACGGCAAGTATTCTACCTCTCTAAACTTCTTTCTGTTATCTCTCTGTTGTGGTATTGCTCTCTGTGTGTGTGTGTGTGTGTGTGTATATGTGTATATATATATATATATATATATATATATAGGCTACATCTTTATCTGTAAATATTTTTATTGCACCCTCTTGACCTTTTTAGTAATAAATCTTATTTTCTGAAAAGTGTTGAACTGTTTCTTAAGCTCTTTAATGCAAACTAAGAATCCCTGTCTCTAAAGAGCGCTACTGTGTGTTTTAAACTTCTGCATACATCTGCCTGCAGTGACAGTGTATATACAGATGCTTATAGTGTTACTGCTAAGATTGGCGAGTTTCCTCCTACTCTGTACAAAAAGGTGGTGGTGACAGTGTGAAGGGTTAATTGCGTAATTAACCTGACCCAGTAACATTTGCTCTCAGGCTGCGGTAAATAGATTGTGGTCCATTAGCTGGAAAATCTTTGTGCAGGGTGCAGCTGAGCGTGGTATTGTTACGCACATGACAGCGCGGTTTTAGATTGGCTAGTCCTTCGGTCAAGAGTTGGTGAGAAGGGCTGGGGGTCTGACGCCGCGCCCGTCACACCTACAGCTTGAATATGTTTTGGTAAATACCTGAAAAAACTAAAATTGTGCTTGTGTCCAAATATATATAGACCTAACTGTGTGTATGTATATGTGTGTGTGGGTATATATATATATATATATATATATATATATATATATGTGGGGGATAGCTCAGGTGGGGGATCTCCTTCCCTGGGAAAAAGGTAGACCGCACAGCAGGCTTTCGTCAAAATCTGACTGGTTGTCAGTTTTTATTTAAAAAGGTTTGCAGAAAATATCAAAATAAACAAAACATCAAAATAAACCCTTGCCATCCAGGCACTAACTAAACAGAAGATGTTCCTCTCTCAGAGGTGAAGGGCTTCTCCCTGTCACCAAAAACAAAACAAACGCAAACCTTTTCTTGTAGGTATAGTACACACACAGCTCTCTCAGAATACCTCTCTGAGTCCCAGGCCACGAGCGACTCCTTGCTCCAGCCCTGCCCTTTTTATACCACCTTTTGGTGGTCATCAGTGGAGCCCAAACTCTGGTGCGGACCCACCTGCTTAACTGTGGCCCCGAAAACCCGGAGTGGACTCCACCTAAACGGTCAGGTATGAGCATATGCGAGGTGACACATAGCGTCCCTCTATCACCTCGCCGTTCATCCTGTCACAATATATATATATATATAATGTCCTTTTATAGCTTCTTACATTATCAAAGAACCGTTAGAAATGTGTGCACTGTTTTTGACAAACAGAATTGCAATGTTCTTTTTGAGGAGGAAAGAGGGGAGTGAAGTTGAAGGGCATCTTCTGTTTCAATGGTTTTATTAGAGTTTAAACAAAAGAACAGCTATACCATTTTGTGCCTAAGACGTAAAGTCAGGTAAAACCCCCGCAGCGCAGACGGGACATATCAGAGGGATGTACATAACATATGTGAGGCAAAGTATCTTGTCAGAAGCTAACTGAAGATAAACAAATGAAAAGCTCAGAAGCAATGCAAAAGAAGCCAGGGAAAAACTATAGTGATGGGAAGGTTTTCTAAACTATGTGACCATGTTTTCCATAGAGATCTGTTGGGTGGGAATATCTAAAGCTGCCTGGCAACTTGAGATCATTTACCAGTTGAAGTGGGCTGTGATCTGATTCCTGTAATCACCTTTATTTCTGATCTTTGTAGATTGTTTTTTATTCTATTTACCAAATGCAAAAGTTTTTTCCCAAAGTTTTTTTTTTTTTTTTTTTTTTTTTCACTTAGGACTTACCACATATTGAGTTAAGTGGCACTTTGTAACTAGTGAAAATGCTGCATACAGGCATACCAGATGTTTTATCCATTGTTCTTATACAAAGGACACTGAAAGCAATACAGAAGATGCATTCTTATAGTGTACACTAGTACTAGTTGACGATAGAAGCTAAGAAGAGCCCAGTAGATTTGATCCAAATGACAACCAGATTTTGGTCTGTTCTTCAAATGTGAAAATTATAACATATTTAGTTGTCCGTGGTTACTAAGGGTCACAAACCATGTTCTTTCTTTCAGGTTTTTATCTTGCCCCTTTTTTCTTCCAAGAGAGCAGGAAGCATACATTAAGAAAGGGGAGGAGATATACTGAAACATTAGCTACTGCATAGTTGAGTTAGCAAGCTGTTCCCATCCAATGGTGTAGCTTCATTTTGCTTTTAAGCCAAACTTTGCTAAATACTGAAATCCACACTTCTGACAACATCAATGGAGGATTTTTGGAAATAAATTAAATCCGTTGGTGTTCCTTTCAATACTGTTAACCATTCTGTTGTTTTAATTTTTTTTTTTAATTGCCACTTTTACCTTGTGGGTTTTATACTGCATCATTTTAAGTCCCAGGCAAATTACAGTTGCTGAAAACTACCTTGATTAGTTGAACTCTTTAGAAAGTGTGCACAGCTGATTTTCGGAGCCAGAATTGCATTTCAGTGTAATGACATGCTTGCCCTGCAGGACAGAAATTAGTTATCTCAACTATTTTACATTTGCATTAGAAATCAATGTGCAAATACAAGCTTGGCAAATAGCTGTATCATAACCCAGCAAAGTGATCTGCCTTGGTGTTCTCCTGATGTGCACATTTGTTAATATGGATACAAAGATACTCCATCTTTTATTATGACTCCATCTTTTATTATGATATTCAGTATTTTAACCACTTGCCTACAGGGCACTTATACCCCTTCCTACCCAGGCCAATTTTCAGCTTTCAGCAATGTTGCACTTTGAATGACAATTACGCGGTCATGCAACACTGTACCCATATGAAATTTGTATATTTTTTTTTTTAGACAGATAGAGATTTCTTTTGGTGGTATTTAATAACCTCTGGGTTTTTTATTTTTTGCTAAACAAACCAAAAACAACTGGAAATTTTGAAAAAAAGTTTTTTCTTAGTTTCGGTTATAAAATTTTGTAAATAAGTGATTTTTCTCCTCACTTATGTGCGTTAATGAGGCTGCAGTGATGGGCACTGATGGGGAGGCACTGATAGGCATTGACAAGCATCAGTGATGGGCACTGAAAGGCAGCACTCATATATGGCACTGATTGGCAGCACTGATAGGCGGCACTGACTGGCATTGATAGGTAGTACTGACTGGCACTGATAGGTGGCACTGAAAGGCAGCTCAGATGGGCACTGATATGTGGCATTTATGTGCACTGGTAGGCACTGATATGTGGCATTGATGTGGCACTGATTGGCACTGACAGGTGGCACTGCTGGGGCTACACTGATCATCAGGGCACACTGATCATTGCGCTGATGATCAGTATACATGTCCCCTCTAAGGAATGCCGATTACCGTCTCTTCTCTCCTCACGAGCTGTCAGCATGACAGCTTGTGAGGAGAGAAGTGCCGATAACCGGCATTTCCTTATCTACATACGATCAGCTGTGATTGACCACAGCTGATCACATGACAGAACCGACGTTTTCGGCTCTTTCCGTTGATCCGTAATCCGCTGTGTCCCAGGGACACAGCGCACCACCGATCACCGCACTGCGCGCCCCTGGTTAGAGTGGGAGGATGTCACATGACGTCCTCCCAGAACGAGATAACCACCTTGCGCTCGTCATTTCCTTATATGGTGGGCGGGCAGAAGGCGGTTAAGCAGAACATACAAATATGGCATTTAACTTTAGCTTTGTAAAGAAAAAAAAACTTTATTTAGTGCAGTAATGCGAGGCATCCTATCAGAATTCACCTTGTACTGGTCTGATTGTAGCAGAGTGCGTTGTTTTGGTTGTTGCACATTAGAATAAGGGTGCCTTATCGAATTGACCCACTGTGGAATTTTCTGACTTATTCAGATTCTAAAGTAATTTGGGACCTTTCGCTTAGAACAGGTTATGAACATTACAATAGCTGAAGCATTTGCACAATATTACAACTAACTTTTTCTGCATATTGTCACATAGGGTTTAATGTATGAAATGTGTGCTGAAGAGAACACTAAAATCAGTTTCAGAAATTAGGAATCCATACTGAATTAATTTATTCCACACTAAGTATCCTTTACAGGGTAGCTACATAACCTTGTCTTATTTACTTTTTTCTGACTTTTTGTACTATTTATACAGTACATCCTTAACATTGTCTTTTGTATAGAAGTAAGAGAATACATTTTAAAAACTTTTTATCATATGTTGGATCTCATATCCCAGAAGTATGACCTTTTTAAAGAATAGAAGCAAATATTTTCTTTTTTTCCTTGTCCATTAAAGGATATGGGATGTTTTGCACCTTCAGGCTATACTGTCACCTACAAGGTGATTGAACACAGACAAATAAAATAAATTGCAGGCTAGGCCAGGATAATCCCTCCTACTACCCGCATGCCTCAGTTTTTGGATAGTATCCTAGGAGAATGAATGTCTTGTCTTCAGCGTTGCTGTCTGAAAGACTAATTTTTTTTCTTTAAAGATTTTTCTGTGATGTGGTAGCTTTCTTTGTCTTTCTGCTGACGGTTTTGCTTCAGTCATGAAAGACTTTATGGCCCAAATCACACAGATACCAGCTTGCTCTGACTTCAGAATGCTCCCACACCTCCTGCAGAGTTTGTATGATATTTACTTTCAGCCTTGGTGACCTCTGAACCATCAGCCTCTGAGACTCTGTCAGTTTCTGAGTTGCTGTAGTCCTGCCATGAAATAAGAGGTAGATCAGATCCTGTCCTAGGCAGAACTGCACATTCCTCCCTTGTCTGCAGTGTAAATCCCAAGGATACAGTTGTCAGGCAGACTTCCTTAGCTGATGGCACCTGGACCTAGTCTCTATACTTATGTCTAGGTCCTGTACTGCACGTTAGGGAGGCTGGATGTGGACCTCTAGCCTCCAGGTTCATCAGCAAACTAGACTGGCTTCGCTCCAGGTGCAGTGATCCTCTAATGGAAGCAGAAAATGTTTTGGTGACTTTGTGGAATCACTACATCTCTGATCCATGTCTTTCCTTCCCTGAAGCTACTTTCTCCCCTGCTTTGCAGGATTGGGATGGAAGGGATTTAGGTTATTCTCATTGCTGTGGAGTAGCCCAGATAAATGTGGTTTGCTCACTTGGTAATTCTAGTGCATGTTATATGAGATCATCCGGATTAACTTTGCAAGGGAAATTTTTGAACTGGCTACTCTGTCTTGCATAGAAACATTTCTGATTTAGCATAGAAATAAGGTGATATTGAGGCTCAGGACTTACTTCTTGCCTAAGGTAGTTTCTGCCTTTCATCTCTACCAGGACATTGTTTTTCTGTCCCTCTGTCTAACTCCAGTTCACCACAAGAAAATTTCCCTTTTGTTGCCTGGATGTTGTTTCTGCTGTTAAAACTTCTCAGCCACTGCTTCCTTTAGAAAAGCTGAACCATTTTTTATAATGCTGGATGGACTCTGTATGGGTGTATCAACTTCTCGTTCCACTGTGTCTAGGTGGCTTAAGCAAACCATCATCTAACCTTATGGTCTCAAGGACTGGGTTCCACCACAAAGAGTGCATCCAAGGTACACTCTAAATTTGTGGGCAATTCTTGGGCTTTTTGGCATGCAGCAAACATTTACCCGATTTGCAAGACTGCCACTTGGTTTTCTGCTAACGTTTTCTTTAAGTTCTACAAGGTCGACTTCTGATACCAGCTTTGGACATAAGGTCATTGAGGTGGGCAGGCAGTGCCCAGTCCTCTGTTTTTTTTCATGAGCTTGTTAGAGTGATTTTGCTGTATTTACTACCCCTTAGTTGGACTGCTTTTTGAGGTCCCGAATGTGAAAGATGTTCCTTAATGGATGGGAAAGAAAATAGGCTTTTTTTAATGTCAAAAATTCCTTTCTTGGAGTCTATTGTTATTGAAATATTTATTATACAGGATTTACATAGTATCAACAGCTTCCACAGTACTTTAAATAATGAAGGTAGACAATACAGTTACAATACAATTAAATACAAGAGGAATCAGAGGGCCCTGCTTTTTAGAGCTTACAATCTAAAAGGGAGGGTCAAATGACACAAAAGTCACTAACTGAGGGAGATGAGTCCACTGAAAGACACAGTTCCCACCCCTCTGTGCTTTATGATTATGCTTTTTGTACTGCTTTGCTCCAAAACTGAGGCATGCTGGTATCAGAAGAAGTTATCCTGGTGGACATGCTTTTTGGCTTGCCAGTGTCCACTCTGCCTGTAGGTGGTAGTTTAACCCCAATAATGAAGGCCTTCCTGTGTCACTCAGTGGACTACAAAAATAACATTACAGTGAGTTAAAAAAATTACTATTTTTCCCTCTGACATTAGAGCAGTAAAAATGGTTTCTGGATCAAACCTCTAAAATTGTACTATGCTGTTTAAAATGAATCACAAAGGCTGGTTGAAAAGCAGAATTAAAAAGCACTGGCTGACATCAAAATGTGTGTGAAAAAAGACACTTACTGTAAATGAGAAATGTCTATAATAATTAACTTAGAAAAGCTAGGGATAGAAATAAAATTGTCATAAAATTGGGCATTAAAAGGAAGCTTATGATACAGCATTAGCTCTCCATAGGACTTTGTGCTTAATGGCTGTACCTGAAACTGCAGTGACTTCATCTTAATTTATTAACTGGATCCTCTAACTCCTCTTCTTATTTTACAGTCAGGTTTGTGTGCTTTTCATTTTCCTTCTTTAGAGAGTTAGCAACTTATCCAGTTACAAAGTGAGTTGGGGTAAACTGTGGCCTACAGGACCACATGGGCTTTATTTACCCAGATTACATTTTTGTTATGTAGAAAACACTATTGTTGTCTCAGTTACTCCAATGAGATGCATTTTAGGGGGGGGCAGTGTGCTGGCACAGTTCTTGCTTGCACCTGGGTGCTTCAGTTTCTCTTACAGTTTGAAAGATTATTATTATACAGAACTGCCTCCTTAAAGATACTGTTTAATTAACCACCCTTCCTGATCAGGCCATTTTTTGTGAAACGGCGCTGCGTTACTTTAAGTAACAATTGTGTGGTCATGCAACGCTATACATAAATAAAATTTATGTATTTTTTTCCCACAAATAGAGCTTTCTTTCGGTGGTATTTGATCACTTCTGCGGTTTTTATTTTTTGCGCTATAAAAAAAAAAAAGACTGACAATTTTGAAAAAAAAAAACAATATTTTTGACATTTTGCTATAAATTATATCCAATAAAAAAAAAATTTTAAAAATCTAATTTCTTCATAAGTTTAGGCCAAAATGTTTTCTGCTACATGTCTTTGCTAAAAAAATCTCAATAAGTGTATATTATTGAGGTTTTTTTTTTTTTTAGCAAAGACATTGGTTTACGTGAAAGTTATAGCATCTACAAATGGCGGTATATACTGAAATTTTTATTTTTACTTTTTTTATTTTAGTAATTGTGGCGATCAGCGACTTATAGCGGGACTGCGGCAGGCATTCTGACACTGGGTGTGACTAACTGCCACTGATATGCCCAGTGGCACTAATACAGTGATCAGTGCTAATAAAAAGCACTAACAGTGTGCAAATGACGCTTGGAAAGAAGGGGTTAACTTCTGAGTCGATCAAAGGGTTAACTGTGTGTTTTACATTGTGTGCTGTTTTACTTTGGAGACTTGCTGCTTTGTATCTCTGCTGTGACATACAAAGCAGCATGTCCATGCTGACAGGAGAGAGACCTGTGTTGTTTACACACAGGTCTCTCTCCTGTAAGCTTTGCCGACAATCACGGAGTGCCAGCCAGGAATCGCCGGCTGGGACCCGGTAATTGACATCCCCAGCCACCATTAGTGACGTGGGTAGGGCGGCACTCTTCTCCCTTCCCGGAAATGCAAATCACATATATATACGTGATATTACGCAGCCGTGCCACCCTGTAGCAGTACTTCTGCTATAGGGTGGATGGCAAGTGGTTAAGCAAATGCCACTGAGAAGCCTTAGATTGAACCAACTATTCCTTGACTCCTGCTTAAAATGGAGCTTCAGGCAATGCACTAAATACATAGCTGATAATTGCTTATAGTTTCACCTATCCTACCACACAAAGCCACCTAGGGTATTGTTTCAAAAGTCAGATTTTATCTTAAGATTATTCATTTAAGCTTTAAAAATGAAAAACAGACGCTGATTGGTTGTCCTGCAGAGCTGCTTCAATTTTGGTAAATTTTTCCCCATTTTATTGTACATGCTGTTGTTGGTGAAGGGGCAGCTGTGCCACCTGCGAAGAAAAGCAGCTTTGTGGGGCTGGTTATCCAGCCAGAAGGAAGCCTACAGAAACAACTGCTAAGCTAATTAATTATGTTCCATTCCCTTAGAATAAAATAGTGTCAGAAGCTTACTATTCAGGAAGGGAGGCAAGACCTACCAAAACTGTTTTTTTGACTATTTAAATTATTGCTTGTGATAATTTTTTTCTAATCATAAAATGAAAATATAAAATATTATAATAGGTAACTTT